CTGCAGCTATAGATGTTACTCTTGCTCCATAAGTTTCACAATGCTTTACACAAGCATATCACTCTTCACACCAATCATCACAATGATTTATACATGCATCTTGCTATGTGGTACCTAGATCACCACCTCGATATAAATTTATTAATAATTATACCTGTCCACATACTACACACTAATAGCTGCTGGTGGTGCGGTTGGTGCATTTACAACTTAAAAACACAGCCCAAAATAGATTTAGCTATAAGATTAGGTGGAATTAATAATAAAGTCCATGCTGGTATATCAAGATAGAGATTAATAAATGTATGTACATCTTTAATTGCTAAAGCTTTTAGAAGCTTTTGATTAGCTAATGATAATATGCCAACTTGTCTTGTTAAGCTTATTGGAGATCTATTGGATTGTTTTAGTAATTCTACAAGTCGTAAGCCTTTTGTTAATCTATTCTTGCTTTCTTCCCCTAGATCTGCTGAAAATTGTGAGAATGCTTGTAATTCAACAAATTGAGCAAGTTCTAGCTTGTAAAATCCTGCCACAAGTTTCATTCCATACCATTGAGCTATAGAACCCACACGTGTTACAGATAATCCAACATCTATAGCTGGAAGAATACCTGATAGAAATAAGTCTGATGATAAAGCTATTTGTCCATCAGTAATAGATATGACATTTGTACTTATATAACCTGAAACATCTCCTGCTAATGTTTCAATAACTGGGAGACAAGTAAGACTACCACCACCAAGATTGTATGATAACTTTGCAGACCTTTCTAAAAGTCGAGAATGCACAAAGAATATTTCTCCTGGATAAGCTTCTCTTCCAGCAGGTCTTCTCAATAGGAGGTATATTTCTCTATAAGCTGCCGCATGTCGAGATAAGTCATCAAGTACAAGTAATGTGGGTAATTCCCCAGTTATCACAAAGAATTCAGACAAAGCAGCTCCACTATATGCACATAAGTATTGAGCTACAGCTGATGAACTAGCAGTTGCTATAAGCATTGAGAAGAAGAAGATAGCATCTTTTTGTACTAGGGATAGAAAGACCTGTAGAATGCTTGATGAGCTTTGACCAAGAGAGGTGTAGACCGCAAATACAGAGCTATACTTTTGATTAAGAATGCTATCTAGACAGATGGATGTTTTACCTGTCTGACGATCTCCTAAAACGAGCTCTCTTTGGCCACATCCTATTGGGATACTTGAATCTATAGCTATAATACCTGTTTGAAGTGCTTCTGAGACAGATTGCCTATCAATTATACCTGGAGCAGGAGCTTCTATAGCCCAAAGATATTGCACATTGATTCTACCTGAGTTAAAAAGGATATTACCAACTGGATCTAGAATGGAAGCTATTGAAGTATCTCCTAGAATTATGCCTTGAACCTCGTTTAATCCTTTTACAGTTGAGCCAAGATCAAGAGGATTTCTTGGATTAAGCAATAAGGCACCAATAAGAAGATTCATTGTGTCATTATGATGAAGATTTACAACAATACCAAGAGATGAGCTTTGTGTTATAAAGACCTCTGAGATGAATGCTATTAATAATCCTTCTAATGTGACTACTCCATAACCAGTTGAGATTATAACTCCATAATCTAAAATGTTCTTTTCAATAGTAATTCCACAGTTAGCACAGCATTGGACAGGTCTAATTATTAATAAATTTATTTATTTGCTTGTGTAAAGCATTGTGCAAGAGGAATT